TGTGAGCATGTCGATGCTCTTGGTATTTTGCCACTTGAATGGTGGAGGAGGTGGGAGGCGCGACGACTCAAATTTACCGAGGATGGTAAGCCAATGAACCGCAAACCTTTCCGATCTTGGGACGATCGGTTTGAGGATAGCGTGCAACAGCCTAGGCGAGATAGTGGCATACCGTCGTTTGATGCAAGGGAGAGGGAAGCTTTCTTCGACATGCTACGGCTGATGCTCTCATTCAGACCTGAGAATCGCCCTACTACTAAGCAAATCCTCGAGTCAGAATGGATGGTAAAATGGGCTCTGCCTGAATATGGCAAGATCCAAGACAATGTATGAGTTATTCCAGGGTGGGACTGCCTTGCATGCATCATATTTGTCCGCTCCCGAGGGAGTATTCCGGGGTCTGTTACGAAATATAGGATACTTGTACCCAAAAGAGACCATGGCGGCAATGTATTCTGCCACAATAGACCGAGCTTAACCGTCCCAAGCAAGGTTCGCGTCTGGCATATGGCCTGAATCAAAATCCAAAACGCGTAGAACCGGAGCATGCCCCCTTCATCTCCAGTCCGCATCATAGGTTCCTTGTCCTTCTATCTCGCCTTCTATTGCAATCACTAATGGAACCAACGGGTAATACGGTCACAGGACGCTTTGATGAGCGGGGACGCGTAGATACCTGGAATCGATCGAGAAAACAGCAAAAGTATTTGTGAAAATGTAGCAACTTTTAAATCGTGCAAGATCGGGCAGTTCTCATGCGAGCACGCAGCTTTCCAAGTACCGGACGTCTTTAGCCAATATTAGAACTCAGCACAACTCGACAAAAATCAATATTCGATAATCATTAAGACCCTAGTATCTAGCTACCGTCCACATTCACTAACTAGAACTCCCTGTTGGTTACCTTATATGGCATTCAACATGACACAAATCATCTCACTAAATTGACATCAAAGGTAAAATCGACAAAAACAATACGGAGACGAGCATTGCCATAAATTGCAACGAACCAACGCAAGACGAGTTCACATTCGAGTTACTGACTGTCTGACCCTTTTGATCAATCGTTCAGATCGTCTCGGTTCAGGGGAGACGCTGTCAGTATCTGAAAGTTTGCGTTTGGCTGACCATCTGCCATATGAGCTATGTGGCGGTTCATTCGTAATACACTCAGTGGTGCTATGTGGTGTTTCCTGCGTCTGAGATTGATCCGTTATCGAGCAGGGATCCAGCACACCGCAAACCGGATAGGTATTGTCTTCGTATTTGTTTTGATCAGTTTCTAGCAAAGGTCAACGAAAAGCATGTTAAGAGCTAGGTCCTATAACATACCCGCTTGGCTAGTTTGACCATAGAGAGCAACGGAGTGATCTTCCATCACCTTAGGCGCTCTGTCCTTGGTTGCTTTATCATCCAGGCGGGGACAATTCTGCTCAAGGATTCGAGGCTCTTCCAGATCCTCGCAGGCTAGCTGCGTAGTGGGGGATAAAACAAAAACAGAGTTAACGTCTGCACGCTCGTCTGCTGGGGCTGGAAAGCTTTCATCGATCAATATCTCCCAGAATTCTGGTGTAGCCATGATCTCAGTGTCGGCATCAGAACCAAGCTGCTCTGCCTCATCATAGCCACAATGCTCATCAACATGAATCACTATAGGGTTGGAAGCCGAGCCCAACGGAGCAGGATTGTTGGAAGGTCGCGTGACCACCACTGTTTGCTCCCAGAACTTAGTCTCAGTCATAGCATGTAGATAGTTTCTCTCTCTCTCAACGCATCAAGAGATTTCCAGTTACATCTACATTCATCGTAGATCTCTAGTATCTCTAACAAGGATCATCTCCAATCACTATGGGATTGGCCTCAGTGCCTAACTCGGAAGAATCGATGAGTTCGTGTATGACCAGTGTAGGCCAGTCCGAACGCTCATCGGGGATTGATACTTCGCAATGTCAAGTTAGCAAAATCCATAATGTTTCTAGAATATCCCTCACCGAAGGCCTCGCGTGCATTGTTTGTAAAAGAGCTCATACTGACTGGAGCGGGAAGTAGAGGCGGAAACAAATGCTTAATGATTGATATAGGGTAAGACTAAGGGCTGTGATCAAGATCAAAGACCTAATCCGATTCTTGACTGTTGCTATCAGAGAAACAGCGTGCGAGATACATGGCTTTATATCTCTCGTCTGGCCGATTACGCCTTGTTCAGCCTGTAGGCTGAAGCGGGCACCTTCGTCCAGGTCTCAACTTCAGACGGCAAGATCCAGCAGGATCGCTTCCAGACGAGGCCTGTCTGCCAATCGTCTCCATGTCTAACGCACATTGCATAGGAATACCGTACGAAAGACCAGCTTATCGTCCATTTGATCCAATAACATCACAAAGCGCTGTTGCTATTTACGGAGGACTGCACTCCTGCTCATCGACCGCGCCCAGTAACATCGCCACCGTTTCGATTGAGCTCTGTTTGCCAGTCGTTCCATAGCCCAAGACAGAAGACGAAACATGCAAGACGGACCAACACGGAGACTAAGGACCCCCTCATCATCCCCAGTCCGCGCGACGCAGATACACAGAGCGCCTTCGGTGACAGGGGTCGGGACTGCGTAGATCTCCGGAATGGGGACGACCGCGTCCCCGAGATGATACCATAATAATGCTGCTATTCCTGGAGAACTGCAAGTACGCGCATCGTCTGCGCCCAATGTTATCACCACTAGATTGATTGAGCTCTGCTCGCCAGTCGTTCCATAACTCGAGACAAAAGACGAAACGCGGAAGAGCGGACCAACATGGAGATCCATACTACCTCCATCTCTAGTCCGTATGACCTGTTCCTTATACTTCTATCTGGTCCTCTGTGCCAATCGATCGTGAAGTCAATGAGTTCGGTCATAAGGAGTCCTGTCAATTGAGCTCTACTTGCCAGTCATTCCGTAACCAATGGCTGTGGATAAGACGCTCATGACGTTCTGACCGAGAGATCAAAGCTGCCTAATCGCCTCTAGTCCATATGTAGCTCGTGTTGAAGGATTCACCCCCTGCTGTCTTATCCGTCCATCTCAGCGTGTCTGCCAATGGATAACCACGCGAAAGGGGTCGTTAAGGACAAGGCGTACTTAGCGAGCTGAGTAGAACTCAGCTATTTCTGAAAATGGAACGATAGTACGAAGGATGGAGAGGAACCGGGGCGTGCAAACGGTCTGGGGAGGTCGGCGAGCCATTTCAGAGATCATTGAAGCGCCTCAACATAGCCGCTTTGGAAGCTTCACATCATGAAGAGCAGGGAAAGAGGGGGTTGATCATATTATCCGGCTCTCGCAGACGCTTGAATCGTTAGCTTGCGCGAATTGTAGGGAGGAGCGTCCGGTCGAATATGCAATTATGCGTTTTAACCAACATTCCCCGAGGTCCGAAACTGATTGGACACCATCAGCCACAAGGCTCTCACTCTCGTACTGGGCCCCAAAGCAGATCCATAGACCCGCTGCACACAGGCGGTTGTCCACAGAGGGTTAGGGCGACTGAAACCAAAGGGCGCAATAGGTCGACGACGGATCGGCCGACTGACATGTGATATGACGGACCAAGGGCAAAAATGCCTCATCTCGAGCGTAATAGTGAGGGCTGAGAGGGAACGGGGCAGGGCGAAGGAAGCAGCGCAGATTGCGCTCCAGGGCTCGAAGGACCGCAAAGGACTGGCTGGTTCACGCCGGCGACAACGGGGGTGGCGGAGCTCGGTGAACCGGATCAATGGCAAAAATGCCTCATCTGCAAGGCGCGCATGGGGCCGGCCCGGGGGGGGAGAAAGGAGGAGCAGGAGAGCCAGAAAGTTGAAGGGGCGATGGGGAGGACTTTATAGAACCACGCACGACGACGCACAGGACGATATGACGCTAGACCGAAAAGTCCCACGCTATGCCTAATAACGTAATTTGCGTAAATAATTTCAACCGTCCGATATGGTGTAGTGGCTAACATCGCCGTCTCTCACACGGCAGCCGGGGGTTCGATTCCCCCTATCGGAGTTCAATTTTTTGTCTTTTCTATTCCTTGTACGTGCGAACAAGATCAGATAAGCCAGTGGGGCCCTGTGTTCTTTTTTCTGTAGTTTATTTATTAAACAGTCAGAAGAACGACTTTATATCGTGCAAGGCCTTCTAATTGTCTAGCTCGACCGGGCTCTATGATCTTAAATAAGCTACATCTTTATGTTATGGTCTTGGTAGAACAAAGTCGTGCTCTTGGCATTCTTTTTATTTTGTTTTCTGCTTGATCGCAGATCTAGGTGATGGAACGGAATGTACATTCGGCATCAAGCACAATAGCCAGTTTTCTCCAGTGATTAGAGAGTTGGCTTATTCATGGCCTTATTTTCGAATATCAACCTACTCCCAGTCAAGACAAACTCTTACTGGTCACTGAGTTCAACACCTCAAACTCCACGGCGCCATCACAGGTAGACAAATATCCAATAACATGTTGCTCCGCTGAACTAAACCAGAACGGCGAATCTGCATTCGACTCTGCAACCCATCTTACATCATACTTTCCACTCTCGCTCCTCTGAATAGGAACCCTAGCAATCAATGGATAATCCGTTGGGGACCACCATCGAATAGCTGGCAATGTATTCGTGATAGTGTTAATCAAAAGTTGTGGTGTTGATGGATGCCAAACAATCTGTCGAACGGGTTGCTCGTGAACTAGAGCTGATACCAGTGTCGGGGTACCCTCTAGTGACCAAATCCAAACAACGTTCTGCCGTGCGGTGTCAACAGTTGCAAGCAGGCGACCGTCTGGGCTGAAGGTCATTGTCAAGACACCCCGTGGCGGCCCTACCGACTCGGGGCTCATGCTCAATGCAGATGAGCAGGATGCCTGGGCATATTCGGCGTCCCCTGCGGCGGTGGTGTATCGTTCACGCCAAATTCTGGAACACGGCTGGTCTGTTTGGAATACATGTGAGAGTATTGTTACGGAAGAGAACTGCCAGAATAGGATTAGCAGATAATGCGGAACATATTTAGCAGACAACCAACCGTGCGAGTTCGGAGTAAGTCAACATTCCCGTTGACTTTTCCCACGGCCAGCGTTTCAGAAATGACCTGGCGGGAAGCGGGGCTCCATTCAATATGTTTCACCCCGAGATCGAAGGAATCGTCCACCCCAGATGATCCGGAATAGGTCCTGAAAAGTTGACCGTCCGCTGTGAATATCAGAACCTTTGTGCCTGCACTAGCAATATCCCAGATGGCAATCCATTTCCCATCCGGACTCCATTTCAACCCTTGTGCATCAATGGTTGGAAGTACAGTCCTGTTGACGAGTTCGTAAGACCGGGGCTCGTGAACAGTCAGTAGATCCGAGGTCTCTGGTTTCAAGAGAATGGCTAGTTGCCTAGTTTTGGGGCGATACCCAAAGCCTAGATGATGGGCAAACTTTGGTGTTTTGATGACTGAGCTGCGTCCAGTCTCTAATGAGTGGACACTGAGTTTGATATTCCATGCATGAAACACAAGAACTTCATTCTCATCAGCGCCAAATTCAACAGCCAATACTCCCGGTTCGACGCTTTCAATACCGGCAAACATTTCAAGCGGAGCGAGCTGCCAGACTGAGATTCGGCTGTCGCTTACGGACAGGAGTCGCCGCCGAGAGGCGATCTCATCATCTGAAGCACCAGGGGACTTTTCCAAATTGAAGTATTGGAGTGACTTGAGTGGAATCTCTTTGATCCTTGCGATCTGTACTTCCTTGTTTTCTGAGGCTACATTTGAGTGAACAACTAGACCCTTTCCGCTCACGTGGGCGGCATATAGCCCATCTTCAGACAAGCAGAGATTTGAAGGGGCTAGGATAAAGTCTGAGTTTCTTAGCAAAACAAAGGTTGGGTGGATTGTGGACTTACCTCCTGGTCCCGTTGACGCGTCCATTGTTGGCAGTCGAGGGATGATAGCAGTGAGTGGTCAACAAAGAACGATGTCAAACTCCGGATGTCAACACATCAGCTTCACAATATCAATCCCTTCTAGCCGGCTATCGCATATGTGCATTAGAAATTCACTTTTGGTTTCTATTCCCGATTCTCAGTGAATGATTCTAGGACTTGGTCAGGTAGTCTCTGCCCAGCACTGGGGCAATATCGGATTATGTAATCGACACGTGAATCAGCCTGTGTCATCTGTGAAGTTCAAGTTGGTCAGGTCGATCAGGTCGATCTTTTATCAGATCAAGTTTCATACAAACGAGAGAGAAGATATACGATAAGGTAACCGTCGAAACATCAGATTGCGAATTCAACTGAACACCACCAGCTCAACGCGTCCGCAGCTTCCAAATTTCCAATCTCCAATCTCCCGGATAAGATAAGATAAGCCGGGAAATTGTAATTCCGGCTGAGATGTGCTTTTCACAAAAGTTGCTTCTCCAATGTGATGCGACTGGAGGCAATCAATGATCTTAACCACGTTTTTTCGGGGTTCCAGGTGTCAATATAGGTACCCTCAAGCCTCTCAGCCCTTTGTTGGGCCGATTTTATCGACCCTTTTGCCAGTCCCATATCTCAAAAATGGCCTCCGAAACAAGCTCACCGAAGGGCATTGAGCAGACCTCCGCGGCTGCGACTCAGCCCCAGGAGAAGCTCTTTGGAAGAAAGTTTTATGAAAGCATTGGCAGCCCAACATATGTCGTTGCCCCAATGGTTGACAGATCAGAATTCGTAAGTGTGCCGTCCAAGTAAAACCATCTGCAGACCAACGTTGATATTTTCCAAAGGCGTGGCGCATGCTCACTCGGTCTTTCATGCCACCAAACGACCCGAAGCCTTTACTCGCTTACACCCCGATGTTCCATGCACGTTTATTCGGCGAACAAGAGAACGTCCGTGCCAAACATTTCCAACCTACCCGTAAAGTCATCGGAGAGGACAAGGATGAATTGTTCCTTGATGGAAATCCCGCAATTGACCGACCACTTTTCGTTCAATTTTGCACAAATAACCCCGACGAGTTCTTGGAGGCTGCCCGCCATGTCGCGCCTCACTGCGACGCCGTGGACTTGAATCTTGGCTGCCCACAGGGAATCGCGAAAAAGGGACACTACGGAGCTTTCCTCCAAGAAGACTGGGACTTGATATATAAACTTGTGCGTCGGTTGCATACCGAGCTCTCAGTCCCTGTCACGGTGAAATTCCGTATTCAAGACACCAAGGAGAAGACTTTGGAGTACGCTAGAATGATTCTCTCCGCTGGGGCCAGTATCATTACTGTGCATGGACGCAGACGGGAGCAGAAGGGTCACAACACTGGTGTCGCAGACTGGGGCTACATCCGTTATTTACGAGATAATCTCCCTGAAGATACGGTAATCTTTGCCAATGGCAACATCCTTAACTACGGCGATATAGAAACCTGTCTCGAGGCGACCGGAGCCGACGCTGTGATGAGCGCAGAAGGAAATTTATCGGATCCATCTATCTTCAGCAAACCGCCTTCGGCGGGTACCGAAGAAAGAGAATATTGGCGCGGTCGGGATGGAAAGGGTGGTTATCGAATCGATGCCGTCCTGCGACGATACCTTGATATTATCTATAAATACGTCCTCGAACAGCCGGTTCCAGAACGAAAGCCGCTTTATCTCCCGTCCGACCCAGTTGATGAGTTTGCAGAAACCAATGACGCCGAAGATAACGGCCATGAAGACGGCCCGCTCAAGAAAAAGCAAAAGCGCAGCAAGGCCGAGAAGGGCAAGAAGTGTCACTCTGCCAGCCTTGGTTTCATGCAAGGCCATCTCTTCCAAGTCTTGCGGCCAATGGTTGCAACCCATACAAACGTTCGAGACGCTCTTGCGACATCGAAACCAGGCGACATGGCCGCTTTTGAGCACACACTGGCACTCCTTGAAGAGGCCATCAAAGGTGGACTTCAGGAATATGAGGCATCCCCCGAAAAGTTTGAAACACAACCAGATGAGACTTTGAAGGGATCTAAAGCAGTTATTGCTGAATATGGAAGGCCTTGGTGGATCTGCCAGCCTCATATTCGTCCTCTGCCCGAAGAAGCATTTGAAAGTGGAGCGATGCGTGAAAAGGGCACAAAACCTCTCGCCAAGATTGAGAACGAAGAAAAGAACACGCCCAAGGAGACTTGCACTCCTTCCGAGGGCCCTGTCACGCCGGGTGATGGGGCTGTCATAACTGCCACCAATCTCACGCCTGATTCTCTCGTGAGTGGATAAAGATGTGAATATTTGATGCAGTAGTATTTCTGTGTGTCTTTTCTTACCTGCAAATATCGTTGACTAGTGTGACTAGATCTAGATAGACAGTTTCGAGGTTGGTTCCAGAGCCTTGATTGTATAGCGTGGTTACTCTATTTAGACAAAGTCACATGGAGACCTTTCAGGAGAAATGAAGTTCTCACGGATAATTGATAGAAAATTTTTTTCAATCCTATTTGAAAAGGCGACAAGCGAAAGAACAGGAAATCACAGGTTCAGAGCCTCAACGCAAGATGCAAAAGATTTCCAGAGCCCAGCATTTAAAGATTCCTCCGCCTGTATCCATTCCCATGACAATATATTAGATTGCAAGTCGCTCCACCTTGGCTCTAAGTCACTCGATCAGTGAAGCCAGGTCACGGCCTTCGTGATTAAGAAAGATAAGATCCGTAGTTGAAAGTGTTATTCGCAGACATATCTTCATTTGCGCCTTTCTTGACCTGATTGTAATGAATGGCTTGTCGCAAAAAATCCAAGAGTTCCTGTGTCAACGCAGGATCCGCATTCGGCCACGCTGGGGATTGTATTGGAATAGAGAATCGACTGAATGAGACATAAACTTACCGGCAGATTAAGAAGATCGCATTTATTCCACAGGGTCGACGGTTTCACCTTTAAGTAGTAGGAGAAAGGATAAACTCGTTGGGGAGATTCGCACGGTTGATAACAGTATTGTGAAAGTGCAGAATAAGCCGAAGAGCTGAAGAGAAGAGAAGGAATGGAAGGTGATCAAAGCATCTCAAGATCACCTATATCATTTGCGAACTTTCCTTGACAGCTCAAACCACATACCCTCTGTTGAGATCAATATCCACAGTTGATATTGCAGTTGAACTCAATGTTCCTAATAGCACCGCTGAACGTAAATCACATCCAATGAAGTAAATATTTCCACACACGATAAAAGAGATGGGGAGAAAAAGGTGCATTTGAGGAGTACAGAAAGACACCAAAAGACCATGTTAAATGTCAAGCCTTCCCTCCAGCCCACTCAAATACAAAGATGGAGGTTCCATTCGCACACGTAGCAATCACTGTGTGCATCCGACCTGTGGCCGATGCAAAACTGGGTGAGAGCAGCTATTTGATAGTTCAGACCCTAGTTGCTTCATACTTTGGGACACCAGAACCTTGACGTCATTATAAAGCTCTCGAAGTAGGCTACACAGCCGTATTGCTTCCTCGAGCGAGGCATCCACTTCTACACATATGGAATCAGATGACAGAGATCTATGGTTTCAACACTGTATATAAATTCCAATAGACAGGGCATGAAAAATATTATGAGTTCTTAAGAGAGGGTATCTAGATCCTAAGATTAAATAGAATTTTATATATAGCCGCTGAAGAGTAATTTAATAGGCCGTAAATAGTAATTATATAATATAGAGAGGGCTTATACTCCGTACTGCCTAGGGAAGAATGTTTATAAAAAAGGGGCTAATAATAAAATACGCTAGGGTAAGTTTAGAGTGGCGAAGATTATAGCCTTTAAGATATAGTCGTGTCACGGTGCGAACCGTGATGCTTAGTTAGAGGAAGATCACGGCACGTGATCTCCGACCTGTTTATCTGAACTTCAGTTCTAGATCCTGTTGTAGCTCTTCGAGCTACGTCTTGTATAATAGCCTGCCCCTGCCTGTACCTGTCAAGTGGAATCTGATCTGTTATGACCTGTTCCTACCAGTCATCTCCTATCATACCGTCCTGCCAGCCCGCACCCTGACACCTAGATGCGTTTTAGGTAGGGTACGTAGCTCAGTTACGTATAGACTGCGGCATATCCGCTCCAATGGATATCAGATCGATCCTTATATCCGCAATTTGCGGATATTGGATATTGTCAGGGTGCGGGCTGGCAGGACGGTATGATAGGAGATGACTGGCAGGGACAGGTCGTAACAGATCAGATTCACATTGACAGGGAGGTACAGGCAGGGGCAGGCTAATATACAAGACGTAGCTCCAAGAGCTACAACAGGATCTAGAACTGAAGTTCAGATAAACAGGTCGGAGATCACGTGCCGTGATCTTCCTTTTACTAAGCATTACGGTTCACACCGTGACAGTGTATAGATTGGTATCACCTTATTTTGCTCGCAAATTTTGTTAAATTGAGGTGTTAAATAACTTCTGTGGCCGTTAAGTATCAAAAGCCGGTATACCCCCTTCGTATACAAAGTACTAGGAATAAATACCTTCTCTAGCCAGCGAAGTCTAATTTTATTAGAAGTCTAGCCTTTAGGACTAACTTCGAAGCGCTAATCCTCCGGGAGACTATTAAACTAGGATTTAATAAAGACTTTGCCTTTGAAAATCACACACGGAAGAAGCGCCTACCTAGAAGTATTCGTACATTCAACCACCGTCACCAATTCACGATTTCCAGGTGGTAAAACCGGCCTCCGACCGTATTATTCACTCCTCGTAATAACCTTCGCGGTTGTAGTCAATCCCATTGCAAAACCGGTCTCATCAAAGTTATAGATAGCCTTAGTGGTCCTCTTATAGCTAGTGATGCTAATCGAATTATCCGGGCGCGAGAATCAAAGGAACAGGCGTAGGAAGAGAGGCGGTTTAAAAGACGAATTCTAAAGCAGTCAACAATAGAGGATACGCCGACACTAGGACCCCGTTTAATACCGTGGATTCCACTACTAGATGATGTATCAGCCATTTGAGTATTTATTGGTATTTTTGGTATTTAATAGGCGTTCTGTGTTGAGAAAAATACAAAAATATTTGGTGCGTTCTTTAAAATTGACATTAGGCAAGAGTTTCCATTACGGTGTGAAAACCCTACACCCGAAGGGGTGGGGTTACTTGGCGAGGACCGGGTAGTGAAATACATTAGCGGCCTGATTTGTCTTCGGGATTACACGTGGTCGTCGACCACGGTGACAGTAAAGCTGGATTGTAAGAGCACGGTTTCTAAGTAAAGACAACAATATCAATGACATGAACACGATCAGACTGAATTACCTTATCTACAGCGTGATCATGGACATCCAACTCCATAGATCAAGAACATTAGTACATCTGGGTTCGCTTACCAGAGTAGTATGGACTATAACGAAGAGTTGGATGCAGAGCAGCCAGACCAGCTTCATACAACATCTTTTGGAGATATTGAGGAGCAATACTTCGGATAGCCGCTCGCTCTTTACACGTGAGTCGATCTCTTAGAGTCCTCTGGAAGCCGTTCCCATTCAAGGCCTGCTTCAGTTTTTTAAATAGCTTAGCGAAAGACTGATGGTCCTTAGAAGAGGCAGAAAGTCCAATGGTTGACGGTCCTGTCCCCATAGCATTGCTACTACCGGCGATAAAATCCCCCGGTTCGCAAGGGAAGCCAGAGAGGAAGAAACTATCAAGTAGCTTCTCAGATTTGGCGTGCAGTGCCAGAGAAAGAAATGACCAACCGCCCTCGTTGCAACAGCTCATATAAGTAGGAGGCAGCACTTCAGAAAACCACTCAAAGCAATCGGTACAGTCGTCGAAAATGATACCGGTAATGAGATCGGGGCCTAGGCTGCGGGGGCCTTCGATGGGCATGGTATGATCGGGGCCTAAGCCCTGGAGAGTTAGAGCTGTATTCGCAAGATCGATGTTTGGGTACCACTGGACAGCATTCACGCGCTGCTTGAAACTGTTCGACACATTGCTCCCTATCCATCCGAGTTTTATGTATCGTTCTAGCATCTTGTTAGTTTTCATCAGCTGGTTAATGGCGTGAACGTTCTCATGTGCCAATCTGGGAGAGCTCCCCAAAAGCTCGTCCAAAATTTTGAAGATAATCTCTGGTGGAAATATGCCAAGGTTTCCCATAGTAGGGACCAACTGCTTTTGGTGGCACATATTTCTCGTTATACTTTTATTGGTTGTCTGCGTTGAAGACTGAATGAGTTACTGGAAACTAATCTTTATTTTCACTTGGTCAAGAGGAGCAAGGAACAACGCGGGGCCTATATTTTCAACGTTGTTGATGGTTTCAGTTTGAGCGAGTTCCGAGTATGTTCATATAGGAAGATTCGAGGATGCTATGGGCATCCATTTTTGCTTAAACTTCCACTACAAAAGAATCACAAAGGCCATTATAAACATCTGCTCGTAAAGATTACTGTCTCCAACAATGGTAATGTGCGATGACAAGTATGAGCTGACTTGAACAAAGACTCGAACATGGATTCGGGGAGACGAGGCAGTCCCACACCCCGAGATCAAAGAACTTGACACAGAGTAAAGATAGGCATTTTGATGGCTTTCAGTCGAGCCATCAAAGGAAAGAAAGAGCTGTGGTGACAATGTCAGTCTGTAATTGTTTGACTAGAGATCTTGCCCGTGTCCTTTCTCGATTGAAGTTGAATAATCAAGATGAAAAGGCCCGAGGCCTTTGTGATGCCTGGACAATCCAAGGACCCTGTTCTACACAGCAGGTATATATCCGATCTACTTTTGCCTTGGAAAACAATATCAAAGGCCGGGAGAAATATCCATGACGAGAATAATGGATTAGGAAATCTCGACTGAGAACGAGAACCCAAGTGGTAATAATATTTCAACTGTTTTTTCATTGGGTTGTAGGGACTAGAACCTCCGACAAAAGTGTTCCTCGAGTGCGTCCAGAAAAAGCGAGTCGCCTAGCCGGTGAATGACAGCAGCCGGTTTCAAAGGCGCAAAGAAACTCCTCCGACGTAAAATTCATGGCTACACGCCACGGAGTTTTCCCCGTGTCGGCTCGCAGGGGGACCAAGCCCATGACATGTATCCCCCCAACAGTTGGTCTTGCATACATCAACAACCAATCACGCCGCACTCCGATTCTCCGTTCATTCCATGATTACCGAATTTAGTTGGTCTTCTTGGTTCCCTTGGTGACATCGACGACCTTAAGGGCTGCTCAGAAAGAAATTGTCAGCATGACTGTATCCAAAATACATCCTCTGTCAAGTTGTGTATCTGTCGATCTTTCATACAACTCAGACGGCGGAACAACGCGATCGAAACGTACCAGGGGGCAGGCTCTGCTTGAGCTTGTCGGCCTTGTCGGAGTCCTTCAGGACAAGGGTGTAAAGGTTGCGGTGGCAGCGGACCTTGAACTTGGTCTGCTGGTTCTTGCCGTTCTTCTTGATGCGGGCGGCTAGAGGCGAAAATAGTCAGTATCGATCATCATCTCCAAGTCTCCATATCGGAAGTTGATCAATGCAGCGTTACGTACAGGAGGCATCCTTCCGGCGGCAGATCTCAATGAACTGCTTGATATCGGAGACTTCGGCAGGCATGATGACGGTTGCGGGTGTTTTGAAGCAAGGTGCAAAAGAGAAAGCTCACTGTCGACACTGGCCTCTAGGGTGAATGTGTGCGGATCACGTTAGGGCTTGAAGCTGCAAAAGCCCTTGATTAGTCATGTGTTTGCAGCTGGTGCCTCAGGTGGGGTAAGTGCAGTGGCTGGTGGGGGTGGGGTGGCTTGTGTAGCTGGGGCTAGAAATGTGGCTGGGAGATTTCGGGGCAGCGAATGCGATTGCGGGTAATGATGGATGGTCGTCTCTGCTTCCTCGGGAATGCGATACGACGCAAAATGGTCCACCATTGTTCGCGATGGCTGAACCCGTCGCTCAGTGTAACCTGGCCACCTTGAATTTCTGCTCCCTAATCGTGAATGGTGATGTAGCTTCGGTGGCAGCTGAACGGATGTGTCTCCTTCAGGGTCAAATCTCTCCAGATCGACGCTCTGTGGAGGAGTCATTCCTTTTGATGTGACATGCAGGTGGATTCGGTATCGCCTGTAAAGGGCTATGCTATAGATATGGTCAACATCTGGCTTAATACTGCAATGATGATCAATCATACCCCTGTATTATGGCAGCTCCCACCGCAATAACGAATGTAACCGAAGACAGGAAGATGACTGCTTCCATATTGCCTATCAAAACAGGCTGTTTGAAGCGATTGAAAATGAGTGAGGGCAATAATGATAGGCTGACGGGTACAAATATGCGATGCGATGTAGAACAGTGAGAGTTACAAAGTTGGCATTACATTTTCTATCTAGGTCAGAGTCATGACTCTATTTTTACGTATAAAATAGTTTGAAGGAAAGCGCTATTAACTGACTTCTTGGAAGCATGAAGTCAAAGTAGGTGCAATTGTTTAGCTCGAAGGCAGCAGTGAGGGGCGGCGTGGTGTGGCGGTGCAACCCGCATCTTGACGAACTGTTCACATCTATTCATTGTCTTGAATACTTGTCTTTTGCACCTGTCCTGTAAGACTTTTCCCCCTTCTATTTGTTCTCTTTAAACTCTTCAGAAAGAGAAGTTCTTCATTAACCCCAAGAATCACTGCATCCTTTTTCAAGATGCCGACCCCTTTAGACCGAGCCATGAATTCCAAGGTACTACCAAACAATCTACCAACAAATCTGCCTATGCTTTAATGAAGAATATTTAACGCTGGACTCGATAGAATCTATTCCTTGGTAGACAATCACAGGCTATAGCACTCAACATTTCTGACCACAATCTTCCTATATAGGATTTGCAGGAATGGTCACGGCGGTGGCAGCCTATACCATCTTGGGCAGCGATGTTCTTCCCGCGCAAGCAGATCCCACTGGTGGTGAGAGTAAATGTTACTAGATATAAAACACAGGCTAATAGAAGCTAGACCCTGAAAACTGGACAATGGATGAGATGAGAAGATGGCTTCAAGCGGTATGTTTGAGTGATTTATTCAGACATGGCCGGCTCCAGATGATCATAAATTTTTTGGAGATTGGTACACTGACCGAAATTCTCAGAGAGGGCTTTTACCGAACGAGACTGCAAAGCGGGAGGAGCTGCTTGAAAGAGTCAAAGCCAATCTCCGCATACCGCGAAAGACATCGACTAAGCCATGATCCCATCAATGATGGGGAAAACACCATCAGTTCCCTTCCCTTCCTGGCGTTTGGCGCTATGTCTTTGAACCAATTTCAAGCAGTGAACCATTGATTGAACATTATCTCCTAGCAATTCATCCTTGGTGGGTGGGCAGGCTTAGTCTCAGCTTTCTTTCACTTCCGTGTCACATTGCATAGCCTGTTGACTTGTGTGGCTGATTCGTAATTCGTTGGAACAAGTAATGTATGGTTGATCAAACAACAAGGCGGAAGTTCTGGCTCTCAATAAGCCAATCCTTGCGGCCTCTCGCCCTCTCCGCGGATGGATTGGGGACCAGCACAAATGTCTCGCTAAACCCGCGTTGCGGCTGATCGCGACCCTCGCCATAGCGCACAAATCCACTGACTACAATGAGAAATGACATGTCTTTAACTCCCAAATCTGAAAGTGGCTTCAGTCCGCCACCCGGCAAAATGGTAGGGTATGCTTTGTTGATGATCTGGCAGTCGTATGATTGGACTTCATAGTATGTTGGGGACATTTGATTGGTAAAGATTTCTTGCACAGCGGCACCGTCTGCGACGCGATTTCCATTGAACAGGATGGTTGTGGGCTCGAGGGAGTAGTAGGAGCTGAGAGATTCGCGGTTTGATCCCAAAGCCGGATAGAATGTCTTGATAAATTCAGTTGCAGCTGAGCAAGGAAGCAAAAGTATAGGTCAGTTGTCTTCCGATAAGAGATAAAAGCATTGAATATTTTGAGACTTACCCTCGGTTGACACTTTGGTCAGTGTATCCTCGCTTGCTGTAGCCATGGCGATAGGTATTTCCAGTTGACAAAAAAAAGCCGGATAATAGAGTAAAGAAGTGCTGGGATTAAATGAGAAAAAATTTATATACTTATTGACGATGAGATTGTAGGTCCGGGTGTCCTTGATGACGGTGTAAGCACGACGATGTAGGTAGACGCAAAAAAATGGCCGAGACTTGCGGAGAAGCTTGGACCACCCGAGATGATGCGGAATAACATGCAACGCTCTTCCTACCGTCAACGCTATCCCCAATGGCTACAGCAAGGACGCCACTTCGCTCGGTATTTAGGGCGTCTCAGCTTCTGAGACTAAGGCATCCGTGGAACTGCACATCCCACAAGCATGGATGGGCAATCACTTCCCGGCGTGGAGTTGCAACTACGCCGCAAAGATCTTACAAGCCTTACTATGTGACAACGCCAATTTTCTATGTCAATGCTGGTGAGAATGATATAAATACCAGATGGTAAATGATTTGCTAACAACATCTTTGGATTCTAGCCCCTCACGTCGGCCATTTATACACAATGGTGATCGCGGATATCATGAAACGTTGGCAGGTCTTGCTCGGGAACACGGATGCTCAACTGCTGACCGGGACCGACGAGCATGGAATGAAGGTACTGCATATAGGCGTTATTGCAGATCGATAATGGGCGTTGACATCAATTACAGATCCAACAAGCTGCCATGCAAGCGGGAATGGACACCCAGGCGTTTTGCGACATGAACTGCCGAACCTTTGAGGTGCGAGTCCCCTTGGCCATATGCAAGGGAACCTCTAACTTTGTTTACCTGATATAGGCCCTAGCGAAGGCTGCAAACGTCGACAACGATCATTTCATCAGGACCACCGACCCGGCGCATAGAGATGCCGTCCAATATTTCTGGGTAGGTGACTATGTTCCGTTCGTAATAGGGCATCGCTGATTTTGAGCAGGAAATGCTGCAACACCGGGGCTACATTTATACTGCGAAGCATGAAGGTTGGTACTCCATTAGCGATGAGACATTCTACCCACAGACGCAAGTGCAGAACTCCCTAGATCCGTCAACCGGGAGGAAACGCATGGTACGTATTTAGTAGTCCCCCAGTGAGTGCAAATACTAAACACACACAGGTCTCAATAGAAACGGGTAAAGAGGTAGAGTGGTCCTCAGAAACCAACTACCATTTCCGTCTCTCGGCCTTCAAGGATCGTTTACTTGACTTGTACAAAAGAGAAAATCCGTTCCTCACCCCGACCTCCTACACAGCTGCTGTGGTCAATGGAATTGAGTCGGGACTGCAGGATCTCTCGATTTCTCGGCCCGCAGAACGTCTGACTTGGGGCATCCCTGTTCCCGGCGATGACACGCAGACAATCTACGTGTGGCTAGACGCGTTGGTCAACTACTTGACCAAAGCTGGATATCCTTTCCCACCTGGAAAAGAAAACAAATCTGTATGGCCCGCAGATTTGCATGTAGTTGGAAAAGATATTGTTCGGTAAGTTCACGAGCCCTCCCGAAAGGCCGCGTACAAAATTGATCGTTTGATAGATTTCATTGCGTTTACTGGCCTGCTTTTCTCATGGCACTTGATCTTCCCCTACCTCGGAACGTCTTGGTTCACGGACACTGGACGATGAATCGCGAAAAAATGTCGAAGTCCACAGGCAATGTTGTGAACCCCTTTTTCGCCATTGAGCGGTTCGGAGTCGATGGCATGCGATTTTTCCTTGCGTACCGGGGTGGCCTTGCGGATGATGCGGACTTTGACAATTCCTTTATCATCCGAGATTACAAGAAATTGCTTCAGGGGGGGCTCGGAAACCTTGCTCTGCGTACCATTGGATGTGCGCGTGGCAATTTGCGCTCGTACATTATGGACGCCGGATCGGATAAGCTTCCAGCTGCTACTCCTGACGACTTGAAACATCAGGAAATGTTGAAGCAGGCGCCTGCGCAGGTTGCCGAGCTTCTGGAGAATCTTAACCCGCGTGCCGCGCTGCAAGAAACTATGGGCATAATTGAGAAGGTAAGAGGTGTCTATTCCCGCACGAGTTCGGCGAGTATTGACCTGTTTTTTTTAGACTAACAAATACTTCCATGCGGCGGAGCCGTGGAAAACTCCCGACTCCCAACGAGTCATCTACAACGTGGCGGAATCGCTGCGGATCGCTGGCATTTTGTTGCAACCATTTATGCCTGGCAAGTCTCATGATCTTCTAGAAATGCTCCGTATAAACACCTCGGACCCGTCCAAGCGGGCATTCGCGGCCACGGCGTACGGTTCGGATCAAGATTACGGTGAGGGCGTTAAGAAAGGCATACTTTTCCCTCCTTTGCTCACTGAGGAGTAATGGGCCTATTTTCGAGCATTCGATTTGATAAGAGGAATTGATCGGCGACCAATCCGAATAAAGATCTGCATCTTCTCCACAGATATGCCAGACTCAAATGAAATTTTTTCTTGGGTCCTTCACTGCTCCAAAGCTGAGACGTCCGGTTTCCCACTCCTGGCCACTCTAATACAAACGGTATGTCATGGACGTCATAGCCGACCCACTGCGATTGGAGTGTCCCCAAGGGTATTGGCGGGAAAGACTGGGTCAGAACCGTCCCTATCAGACGGGAAACGGAAGTTTCCCGACGGAAAGCCTTGGCCCTAGCACTGGAGGCTCATCACTTTGTATATCACAACATGTCTTTTTATCTGCATCTTGGAGTTTGGATGTTTCAGTATCTATCGCTTTTCCTTTTCTTCCCGACAGACATCTCCCTATCTCTCTATTTTGGTGAACTTACACCCTTCTGCCGTGTAACCACGCGACTCAAACAATCTACTACTATTTTGGGAACAATTTCTATACTTCAGATCGTGGGACTCCTCCGGTGACCAACCAAAACGTTTTTTTTCTCTCTTCCATTTGTTCAACACATCAAAATGGGGAACATCGACATTTTCACGTGCGATCAACTGCAGTTCAAAAAGCCGTGGATCGAGACACCACTGGTTGAGTCTGCATGCCTTTCTCGGGCCGCTGGATGTAGGATCTTCCTGAAGTTGGAGAATGTGCAGCCTAGCGGATCCTTCAAGTCCCGTGCTATGGGCAACCAAATCCTTTCCCACCTTCGCAACCCAGCAAATGTGGGCCGCAGAGTCCACTTCTACGCCTCATCCGGAGGAAACGCTGGACTGGCAGCCGTCTGTGCAGCCCGGAGCCTTGGCTACCCATGCACTGTCGTAGTTCCCATGGGCACGAAGCCCTTGATGCTTGACAAGATCCGGGCGGCAGGTGCAGCAGACGTCATTCGTCATGGCGAGACATTCTCAGAAGCAGGGGAATACATGCGGGAAACTATCATGAAGACCAGCAGCGGAGATGACCAAGATGTGATCAAGATTGCCCTCCACCCATTCGACAACCAGCCTATCTGGGAGGGAAACGGCACCATCATCGACGAGCTCGAGACCCAGCTTCCCCCTGTCGCTAACTCCGAAGACAAAAAAGCATACAACGACCGGGCCCTTCCCGTAGACGCCATCATTTGCAGCGTCGGCGGCGGCGGCCTCCTTAATGGCCTAGTCATGGGCATCGAAAAGCGACGACAGAAGCAAATCACCTCCTCTTCCTCCCCCACGTCAAACCTCATTCACCTCCTCGCCATTGAAACGGCCGGTAGCGATTCCTTGGCAGCAGCCATTGCTAATAAATCCCTCATCTCTCTCCCAAAGATCACATCCCAGGCCACCTCCCTCGGTGCTGTCCGCGTTTCGGAAACAACATACCAGTACGCTGTATCCCCGCCTCCAGGCATCAAGGTGCACAGCACTGTCCTCTCAGATGCAGAGGCCGCCCGCGGTGTGCTTCGCCTTGCCAACGACGAACGACTCCTTGTCGAGCTTGCGTGTGGTGTCTGCATCGAGGCGGCCATCGGCGATGCTGCTACTGCTGTCCCCGCGTCAGTGACGACCGGCACAGGCGCCCGAGGCATTAAGAAGCGTAAAAGGAGCTCGGTTGAGACTGATGTTCCCTACCGCGATGAGGGCTATGGAGATGACCGGTCGACTTCGACCGATAATGAGACCGACCAGGAGCTTGAGCCGCAGGTCAGCGAGAAGCTTAACTCGAAGCTTAGGCAGCTTGTTCCTGATCTCAACTCGCAAAGTAGAGTTGTCATCATTGTCTGCGGTGGTAGCTACGTCACTATTGATATGGCCTGTGAATGGCGCAAGATGTTGGATGAGGGATGGGCATGAAAACTGATGACGGTGGATAATTGTTTTGCTTCTCGATACCTTCTGGCTTGACTTTTGGCGTTTGATTTGCGGCAGGAAATTTGTTCGTTCTGTGTCATCGTCTCCTTCTTGCTCTAGGGCTTAACCTCTTAATTCCTGTCATCTGGATAGAGACTTCGACTTTTACATGCCACGCCGTCATAAAATACACACAGCAACTTTTTTTTTACCTTCAAAAGAACTCTCCAATTGGACCCAATGACTTTCAATGAAACTACCGAAACCCCTAGAACTAATGCAAGTTATTCCGATTAGAAGTTGTTCAGCACCACTCATTTTCCACCTTCCATGCAGCCGCGACAGCTGTAATGCCCTTTCCCAAATCAAGCCACAGCCTGATCCAACTTCCGAATACGATAATCCCAATAGTTCTTCCGGATAGGATCAAACTCCTCCTTCAACATCTTCAGCATCCTCACAGCCTCCCCCTCCTCCCCAATCCTCTCAGCAAAAACATCCGCCAACCACTCAACAGCATGCGAACTCTTCACAGCCCCCTCTGAAACAAACCCGCCAGCAAACTTCTCCCACTCTTCCAACCCACGTCCAGCAGCCCTCAGCACACCACGCGCATACCACCACGGGCTTCGATTCTCCGGCGCGCGCAGAATAGCCTCCTGCGCAAACTTCAGCTCGGCATCAATCATGTCCTCGTCGACGACAGACAGCATGCCCTTTTCAGCCGGTGCGGTCGAAGGATCACCCGCGTTTACCATGCCCGCGTCGGGAATCGATGCGTCCCGTGGTCCGAATCGGAGCATATACCGGTGGTTCCAGGCAGAGTTGTTGCGCACGTCAGCTTTCAGGAGGAATTCCACGTCTTCAATTTCCCGGGGTTGGTCCCAGAGTCCGAAGTGCCGCACGAGCCAGTGGCGGTAGGTCCATACGTGGTAGTTTTTGGAGTCTTGGGCGAACATCTCCATTAGGAAGTCTGCTTCTTTAGGTGGGAATGTTGGGAAGTGCGCTTTTGATGACAGCAGGACTTGACGGTGATGCCTGGTTGAGTTGTTAGTTTTGGTGGACCTTTTCATTTTTGTCTTCATCTTTCATGGCTTTCTGGTGTTGGTGGTTGCCGGGTGGTAGTTGACATACCAAATTTGATAGTTCTTCAGGTACTTCAGTGAAACATCGTTCAACCAGCTCAATTCTTCCATCAGATCCTTCTCTAGAGAAAAAAGAATCTTTGCTCGGTAGATCCTGTATAAATTGTCAGATGTCGAAACGGTATGTCACGAGGAAGCTATTACTAGCCAACTTACCATACAGTGTAATGGGCTGGATTCATCGAGATCACATCTCTAGTCAAATTTAATGCGCGCTCAGACATCTCATTCGCGGCCATTACGGCACGCAAATACGAGGTCGCCTCGAGGTACTCAGATGGGTAGGCGATGGCCGCCAGTGGCATGGCGCCCGAGCTCGAGCCATCGTCCAGGTCAATCGGGGTGACAGATGCCCATTCGGGGTCGGTGGAGTATTTTCCCTCCATGATATTTCGGTGCGAACCGCAGTGAGAAGCTCAAGAGTGGGAGAATAACTGCCGCAATGCAATCAAATGGTGGGGGCACAGGGGTTCGGATGCCACAGGACGAGTCCAGGTTGGGGTCTCACGACTGAAGCACTGCGCTGTCGAGATAATGATGTGCAATCGTAATGAATCAAACTTCTTTTGAGAAGAGAAATGTCCAAATAAATGACCAAACTCCCGCGAAATGCGGCGAATATAAAACACGAGGTGAAGGTGGGGCGGGCGTGTCTGCCTCAGGCTGAAACAAAGAAACCGAACAATATCAAGACAACCTAACCTGCCTCTCTTCCTATTCTTCATTTTTTCTTATGTTTGAAGTTGTACATATTTGAAATATCATTGGTAATTCCATAGCCTTTTCTTCTCATCAATCCACCATTTTCCTACTTTCTCCGCGTCTATCAGCCACTTCCCGGCTTTGTCTCCATGTTTCCTTTGCACACGGCCGATCAACTCCTCGAGGGACCACCCACGCAGTAGACTTAGCTCGTTCGGGTCGATGTCTAGATCGGAGAAAACGAACTCAAAGTCCTCCGTGAGCGGCAATATTAGTCGATATGGGACTGCCGCAGACCCAACGCTGAGCATTGTACCACCGGGATTGATAATGCCAAAATTCCATGCCTGTCGGCCATTGTGGGTAGCTTGGTACGGGCGCACCAGTGATTGTCCTTCGTATTCATTCATCAGGTCCAAAGCTGCATTGGAGTCCATCTCGTTCAGTGAGCCCGAGTTCACGAGTAGATCGAGAATGGTTGGGACAACGGACATCGAGGTTGCATTTGCTGTGATTTGCAGTGCGGGCAATAGCGGGTGTCGGAAGACAAGGGGAATACGGAAATTACTGATATGCCCATTCTCATATGTGCCGGAGACTGGTGCGTCTTCGGGAAACGCCTGGCCACTATTTTGGGATTAGTACATGGTGATTTGGTTGGCGGGGTTGCTGAAACAGGTGCAACATACTGATCTCCCACGAATACGACTAAAGTCTCGTTGGCAATCCCGGCTTCGTCAAGGACCTTCATCATCTCGCCAAGCCATGTGTCGACATATCGGGCCGCGTTCAGATACTTGTTGATGTCCTCATGCTTCGTCATGAGACCGTCTCCAGAAAAGTATTGCTCTTCCTGATATGCCGCGGGCGTGCCCCATGGGTGATGGGTTGTGCTCGTGAAATGAGACAGGAAAAGTCTTTCGTTATTCTTGATTGAATTGTTCACCACATCTCGCAGGTATGGGTATATCTCGTATTCCGGATATCTAGGCAGTGAATTAGCAACTTTGATAGCTGAAGGTCTGACGGAGTCCACATTGGGTGAGAGATTGATATGCTTACCCAAAGTAATTGATCTCCTCCATGTCTTTGTGATGATACTTAGCACTTTGCTGGCCAATTTGTTCGCGATAGATGGATTTTTGAAAGCCCATCTGGTTGTTAAGCTTATCTTGCTCGTCGTACAGTCCTGTGATGGACTGCAAGAACACAGAGCTCCACTTTCGATCAAGAATGTGGTCAAGTCCAGTGCCAGGCTTGTGAATCAATTTCTCTTTCTTGGTGGAGCTATCCTTGAGTTGGTTGAACAATTCGAAGATCTGCATGATGCATGGCTGATAATTCTGGGACTTGACCTCATCCATGAAGTTCACCGGCAGTGGACCCGCACCGCAGTAGTTCATGACTGCGCTTTTGAACGATAGACTGCTACCAGTGAGGATGCCGTTAAAATTGATGCCGCCCATTCCTGGTTCTGTTGTGTCGTTCCATCCACCACTAGAGGGGCTAGAAGATATGGCATTTGAGAAAAGTCCACTCGTCTCTCCGGTCAATTTCTCTGCATTGGGTGTCAAATTTGATAACCTGGCATTGACTGCCTGGAGTACTTCAGGGTCTTGGGTATTGTAGGACGATAAAATCTCCTCGTGCAAGTGTGAGCCTGCCTTGAAGGGGAATATGTCTTTCCGAGCACTTTCCATCAACACAAGCACAACGTGTGTGATAGGAACTTCGTGATTCTTGAGAGCCCGAGCTATGGGCTCAAGTATTTCATGGTCGAGATTGGTGATTCGGAGAGGATCGTCCATAGGGCTATAGAAGTTTCTCTTATAGGTCGTGTTTCCACCCAGAATACCAGTTTCTCCTTCATCTCCACCAGACTCTTTATCGCTCCACCGCTCGAACCCTGGTGGTAAATCCCCCAAGGCCCATGCTGGTATGTTCTTTTTGGCGTTGGGATGTGGCTTTCCTGGGGTCCAGCCCTTGAAGTGATCATGTGGACCTTCCCAGTGTGGCTCATCAATCAGATCCGGAAGTGGAAATGATTGATCTCCAGTCTGATGTAGCTCAGTAGGTTTCGAACTCAAAGCCCGGAAAAAGCTAAATGGGATAGTTTCAGACAGATGGTTATAAGGCACTTGAGGCCGAGTCAAGCGCAAGAATCCAACGACTACCGTGGCGCATACTGTCCAAAATTTGGCAAGTCGTGCTGCCCGCGACTTTCTCTGAGGACTGATCACGATTCCTTCTTCGTCCGTCTTTTCGGTTTGTGCGCTAAATAGTGCAGATAGCCAATGGCCCATGAGAGTGTATATGCAATATTTGAGTAGCCAGGAGACGACAAGAAGGGCGCAAGCAGCCCCGAGAAATGATCTCAGTCCGCTAAGCATCAGCTTTCTCCCTTCTGGGTCATTTCCCACGGCCGTAGCTGCATCCCAGCGGATTTCACTGCCAGTCACAAAATAGAACCCGATCTGAGATGAGGCCAAGATGAAGCTCAGAGATCTGTAACAGTTAATATCTCGATCGGCTCTACTTGGTAAAAGCAGACGGAAGGACTCACGTTATGGCCACTGTCACCGCAGTGCCTAAGAGGGACTTGACTCCCGTGGATTTGAATAGCAACCCCCACGCGACTATACACAGAAGAGTCTCAAAAATGAAGATGGTTGGAAAGTAGAGCGCAAATTGACCACCAGGGAGAGAAGAGGCATGTTGTAGGAGATGAAGCACTTTGGAGGATATCACTGACACAACCAGCAGTGATACAATGAAGGGCCTGATAAAGGACTGGCGTGCGATGATCATATTGGATAGAACAGAGCTAGGAAGACCAAAGTGGACATTGTTGCTTCCAAGTTACTCTTCTCAAATCCAAGTGCTTTCTTCGAGCAGACTGCAGCTGAGGTACCGAGAGTCCAACTGCGATTTCGAATTGTGCGTTTCGGGTTTAGAGAAGCCCGTTGTGGAGAAAAACGATGGAAAAAGAAAATCCTATCTTCGCAATTGAATTTTAGGTAGCAAATTTGCGAAATGGGCAAGATTCAGATGCGGTGTCAAGGTCATAGTTTCGCATATCCGAGACCGGTTTCAGGTTCAAATTTCTTCACCTACTTTGTGGGTTCAAATCAACATCGCATGGGCAGCTAGATCAAGCAAGGTGTATGGCCTCTGTCTAGATAGGAAAGGGGTCAGACGAGCTATCAAGGGGTGAAGGGGTGAAGGGGTGAAGAGGCATGTGCTCCCCTACCGCTTCGGGATGGAAATTCCAAGTCGTCCATTGGAATGTAGTCCTGGAGAGTCGTCAAGTCCTGTTACCAAGTAAAAAGTTGGACGCTTTTGTCTGCTGAGACAGACTTCTCGTAGATGATGCTGTATACTACGATTTTGGGTATATGCAGGAATGCAGACAAGCTCGGTTTTGCTTTACCCAAATGTCTCCCCACCATTGTTCAGGTATTCAATTTCCTCTGGGGTAGACACTCTGCCCAGTGGCTGGTTCCGATGCGGGTACCGACCAAACCGCTCAATAATCACTTTATGCCTCTTCTCAAAGTCAAAAATATTGCTCAATAATGCCTGGAGTGCCTCCACCTTCTCGGATAGAACGCCTTGACATTTTCTTTCCTCTTTTGTAAGAGTGGATGTGTCCCTAGCCAGAAGTCCATTCAAATCTCTGGCTATATCCTCGTGCACCTTGACAGCTTGCTCATGCACAGCCAAGTTTTCCGAATGCATGAGGGGCAGATAGAACCACATACGGTACGCCATTCGATACTTCAGATACGTCGACTGCGCCGGTATCCCCTCTTTGATTGCTCGAAGGGCAACATCCTCTGCCAGTGGGTCAAAGCGCCCAAACACTAGCTTCGACTCGACTCCCCGGTAGCAATTGCGGGGAATCTGATCAAGTAGAATAATGAGGCTGAGCCAATCCACCGGCGAAGATGGGCTAAAGGCAGATATAATCTCTGAGGCCGATGCTCCGGAGCTAACGATTGTTTCCAGAGCATGGCGAAATTGGGTGCTGTTTGAGCTTGTTAGTCTTATATTTTGGGATCGTGATAAGGATACAGATGGTCACTTACACACATAACTTGTCAAAAGCCTCGTCATGAGTGAACCACTTTCCCATCTCGCTCATTCCAGGTAGGATGAGTGCCTCTTCGCAGCTCAGATGATCAAACCACAGCTTGTGCACGTCATCAAGGAGGGTTGATGTCAAAATGCGCTTGAGTTCGGGGGAGCTTGCCATTCTGATGGAAGTTGAATGAAATTTGTGAGTCAAGGTGCTTTTGCTGAGATGCTTCTGCAATCGAGGTCTTCCAATAGGATTTGCACGGGGACTGGGGACGGATATCAGGCTGTTAGCCGGGATCACTACTGGCTTGAAAGTCGCAAGTCGCTGGAAAAGTCCCTTTGAGATTGCCTGTCTTACTGTTAGACTTAGGTCAATACTGATTAAACCTTCATTTACCTTTCTGCGCATTGAAAGTGTCATGTCTCAACGTTGCCCAGGCGTAGATATCAAATCTGGGTTGCCAATAAATAGATGAACGTGGAAGTACACCAGTTGCCAAGCCCGGACCCATCCTCAACCCCGAAGCCCTAGCTGAGTCATCATGAAGGTCTTCCTTTGGACACAGCAGATTCTTAGTTGATTTTTAATCTTCTAACCTATAGACTCTTTAAAAACTTGAAACAGTTCTACATAGAGTACAAATGATTTTATTATGTAGTCATCAAGCCCGAGCCCGCTATTCCTGCCTTCTCACCCAAAGGGGCAAAAGAGTCCCGATTATCTCGATAAGACCGCCTTTCACTCCCCCGCATGGTTTTCCCCAAGCCTATACTCTGCATCTTGTTGGAGCTTCTCGGATTCATCTTCTCTATGCGTTAAAATGCGCCGCGTTAAGAAATCTAGAACTGGCTGTGCAAGATGCAAGAGTAAACGAGTTGGTCTTTCCAGTTGCCCGCCCCGGAACAATCGGACGTCACTAAAATGCACAGGTCAAATGCGGCGAAGAGAAACCGCACTGCACTCGCTGTACCCGCCTAGGTGTCCGGTGTCCTGGTTATGCACAATCTCTGCGATGGGTTACCAAGTATGAACAGTCTAATCCTGCTGTACCGGCATCGATCTCGGAGGTGAGAACCCCGAGTCCCGCTGCTTCGACTGTTCCTAGCCAGCTGGCAAACCAAATCCACGATGTTTTGCCGGATGATTCAACTTTTGAGTCGGCACATGAAATCGATCCTTCAACTTTAATCTTAGATGGACGAACTGCTCTATGTGACAATCTATGGGAACATTCGGGCCCTGGGTCTTTACCCGAGCTGACGGATCTATGCTCGCCGTCCCCGAAAGCGGCGGCACCCTCGTCTTTCTCACTTCAAAGAGACATCTTCTATGACTTTGCACAGTCAGAAGATATCGGCGTGGATCTGTCACACTTGCTGTCACTTCTCGGACCAACACCAAGTGAGGAACTGGTTGACAATGTTTACCAAGATTTCTCACCATCGGCCATTGTGCGCAGTTATCCTCCTGTATCACATCGCTCTACCCCACATAACTTCATGTCAATGTCTAGTCCACTGAATAATCCATCATGGACATTGATTGAATACTATTTCAAAGAAGTGGCAGCACTATTCTCTAGCTACGACAGCCAGATGAACCCGTTTCGAACCACAGTATCCCGTCTTTGGGGATCTTCCCTGGCGATGTGTCGAACAATGCAAAGCATGGCCGCTGCAACGCTAGTTACGGAATTTCCCCAGTTCGGTCCCATGGGCCGAAAGATGCGCGATGAAGCTGTTGAAATCATCACGCGCGAAGCGGTAATAGATGACAAGTCTTTGCTGGCGCTGCTAATGCTCGGACAGACCGCTAGTTGGCACGACCCAAAGGACTTGGGTATATCGTTTTTCAACCTTCTCCGGAAGCAGCTCAATGGCCTCGCTTCATCATCGCACAACCCTCAGAAAGTTAGCAATAACTACCGGTTCTTCGAAGAAGCTCTCATCTACTGGGAGATGTTGCTTTCCTTTGTCGCAGATAATGACGCCATCGTCCTATCTGACAATTCACGAACCGCTTCATCCATGGGCGAGTCCTTCGTTCTACAACGAGTCCCACACCCGTGGACCGGCATCGCGCGCGACACCCAGTTCACCGTGCACGAAGTCGGGAAACTCATCCGCGGTGAGCGAAAACGCATCTACTCAAGGCGATTCACCTCCCAAGATGATATCACCCGTGCAAAGTTGGCAATCGAGAAAGCTCGCGAACTCGAAGAACGCCTCCTAGGTCTTGCCCATCCCTCCGAGGCTGAGATCGTCAGTCCTGGTGACGACGACACCCCAGTGTGGCACCTCCTCACTATGGCCGAAGCATATCGATGTGTCGGCCTCCTGCAGCTCTACCGCATCTTTCCGGACCTACTGCACAACCGCCTGCCCACTTCAACATCCACATCACCCCAGCACCCCAGCAACACCGAACCAGCATCCCAGGACCTTTTCTTCCCAATCGACCTCGACAGCATGAATCTGTCAGCTGGATTCGGCGGCACCAGCCCAGGAACAGGACAAACCACCAATGCTCGATACAATCCTCCTTCTCCATCTACCAAGTCCGCTCCTCACAATCTCTACCACCTTTCCCCTCACCATCCACCATCCCCACCATCACAAGACACTCAAAAACTACCCACCCCAGAAACCATATACAATAGCTGGCTCACCGAGTTCGCCGTGACAACCCTCTCCCGGCTAAAAACCATCCCCCAGGAATCACGCACCCGCTGTCTCCAGCCATTCCTCCTGGTAGCATCCTGCTCAGAGCTCCGCCTCCCGCGTCTGGCCACAAAAGCAGGCACACAACCCCGGAATGGTGAAGATGATTCAAAGGCTGATACCGATAGTAATAACCCGAACCAAACACCTACCATCTCAATGGAGGCCATAGAAGTCTCTCGCACGCGCAAGTTCATCCTCGGCCGTCTAACGTCCTTTTTGCACGTTCTGCCGCCGAAACCGATTCATGTATGTTTAAAGTTAGTCAACGAGGTCTGGAAGAGATTGGATGCTGGGGATATGGATACTTATTGGGTTGATGTTATGATTGAGAAAGGGTGGGAGACAACCATGGGGTGAGGTAGTGCCAGATTGGGCTTCTGGAGCTCCCAGTTCAACACTATATTCTTGTTTTTTTTGGCATTTACCATACTAGTCTTTGGTTCTAGTTGTGTGAATGTTGTTAGACCGTTGAATGATCCAAGAGATCTTATGGGCGTCAGTGTGGCCGGTTAGGGATTGGACCTACAGGACAAGGCAGGAATCACTTCTCGTGTTCTTTCTTGGGGCATTGAAAGTTGCAGAAAAATACCATCTCGAACCCTTCGCCAGAGAATTAAATTGAGAAGTCATTATGAAATTCATTAAGGATCAAAGCTCATTAGAAGCACCAAAGTAAAAACACCACAATGTCACTCCAGTTGTTGTTTTTTTTTGGGGTTTCCAATTTCCATCTCCAGAATCAACCTCCGATGTCGACGAATCAAATACCCAAGCACACAGCAGATCCATATAGAGAAAAAGAAAAAAAAAGGAAATTACTTGCTACCAGTACCCCGAGTGTATTCCTCCCACCACTTCGAGAACATACCCCCCTTAGCAGCCTGCTCATTCCAGCTCGCGCGACGAGTGGCCATGTCCGCGCTTGTAGATTCACGCTTCTGTGAGTGCAGGTTCGAGAATAGGCCGTTGGAGGAGCCGGCAGAGCTGCGGCGACGCTCGCCTGGGCCGGGGGGGTTAGGTGCGGTGCCTTCGGTCTGTTTATTTCCGTTTCCGTTTGAGGCGGTGGAGGTGTTGGAATCCTTCATTGTGGGTGTTAAGTTTGTTTTGGAGATGGGGTGATGAATCAACAGAAAGGTAAGTGATGTAGTGCCAAGGGAATGATCGATGGGAAAGGTAGGTAAGACACAGAAATCGAAATTCAAAGAGGCAAATGACATACTCTTCTGTCGGTGCCCGGCATTGCCCATGCAGCGCGACCACTCGGACTCTTAGCGCCGCCATTCATCCAGACATTGAGGTGCTCGTGACGGTCGCCGGGGTTTCCGTGCCAGTGGCGACGAGTGTTGTCGTCAGACATGTTGGAGATATCCAGGCAGTTGGAGTAATCCGTGATGGATGTGGTTTAGTGCTTGTGGGGGATTGAGTACGACAGGAATAGTGAAATCGGATATCGAAGTCTCAAGAAACCCAGGAGATGGGGATAGCAAGATATCCTTCCTTTAAAGGCTGGAGAGTCGACGACGTCATTCTTGTTCGGGTTGCCTCTTGGGGATGGACGGGATTTAGACGGAACATTACCTCGATCGTTTCTAGGATTGGGTTGAAATGATCGAAACGAATGATAAAGAGGATCAAAGGGAAAGAGGGGGTGATGTACGTTGACAGAGCTGTGGTGAATGTTCCCTGCCGGGATCTGGAAAGGTCTAGTCCCTGATGCACACCACTTTTTGGAGCACCATACTGGGACTTATTCTCCTCCCCAACCATGTGCTGTGACTACTTTCGACTATTGTACTTGAATATGAACTGGACAAGTACCATCCTGTACCCCAGAGAGCCTTGACGTAATTGGAATGCGGGGAAAGCTTGGCATAAAATTGAAGAACCTGGATACATCAACTCTCTGTCAACTGCCCTACTACCTACGTGTGTACTCAGGTAGATATCATACCAACACCTTCCAATACTGAACACCTCCCCCTTCACTCCGTCCCTCAGTCTGATACCGAGATAGCAACGCCGAAGTTCATCATGACTAGATGGGGAAGTAGAACCATTTTGGGATTGAAAACAGAGACAGATTATAACTGGAATGTTGTTGAACAGAATACTGTCAAATCCCGAAGAAGCCAGAGCAGGAAATTGCCTAAATTCAGAGATGAGCTCATAAACATAAAAGAACGAAAAACGCTGAGAAATCATTCAAATCACATCACGCATCACAAATCGTGCATGGTTCAGTGGCACATAATCACTTTGCTTTTACGCCTTACTGATCCTGCAGACCAAGTCCCGGCCGTCGACGGAGTCGCCCTCCTTGACTTGGAGGTGAGACACCTTTCCGCTATGCGGGGCGGAGATCACCATTTCCTAAAAAAGAGAGTTAGTACCATGGTCCTATGTGTGATGGAAAAGAAATAGAACCATACCATCTTCATGGCGCTCAGCACCGCAATAGGATCACCCTTCTTGACCTCGTGGCCATCGTGGATGCGGATCTCAACCACGACACCACTCATGGGAGCACCGACCTGGCTGCTATCCGTGGGATCGGCCTTGGCACGGGCGAGGTTCTCGATCGAGGCATTCTGGTCATCGACACTGACCTGGCGGACTTCACCGTTGACCTCGTAGAAGACCTCACGCTGACCGGTCTGCTCGGAGAGAGGACCAATGGCGAGCAACTTCAGGATCAGAACCTTACCCTTCTCCAGCTCGACGTGGAACTCCTCGCCGATCTCGGGACGGGCAAGGAAGTAGCGGGTCGGCAGGACGGAGAGATCACCGAACTTCGCCACGAACTTGCGGTAGTCCTCGAACACCTTGGGGTACATGGCGTAACTGGCGACGTCGCACTCGGTGGCGGTGCCAAACTTCTCGCGGATGTCGTTCTTGATCTTGATGAGGTCCATGGGCTCCAGGTAGAGACCGGGGCGCTTGTCGAGCTTGCGGCGGCCACGCAGGGCCTTGGTGCGCAAAGGCTCGGGGAAGCCGCCGTAAGGCTGGCCCATCAAACCTTCGAAGAACTCCAAGACTGATTCAGGGAAGTCGAGTTGATCGGCACGGTCGAGCACATCCTGGGCGGACAGCTTGTTGCTGACGATCCAGGAGGCGAAGTCACCACAGACCTTGGAGGAGGGGGTGACCTTGACGATGTCGCCCAGCAACTCGTTGGCCACCTCATATGCTTTCTTGGTCTCCGCCCACTGCTTTCCAAGACCCAAATGGCTGGCCTGGAAGATCAGGTTCGTCAGCTGGCCACCAGGGATCTCGTGCTCGTAGACCTCGGGGTCGGGCCCGGTCAGACCAGCCTCGAAGGGAGAGTAGAGCAGACGAAGCTGAGCCCAGTAGCTGTCGAGAGCGCGGACATGGCCAAGGTCCAGCTGGGGGTCGTACTCGGTACCCTGCAGCGAAGAAAGAAGAGCACCAATGCTGGGCTGCGAGGTCATACCAGACAGACTGTCGGTAGCGGCATCCACGGCATCAGCACCGGCCTCGGCACAGGCAATCATGGAGGCGACACCGGTTCCGGCGGAGTCGTGAGTGTGAACGTGGATGGGGAGATCAGGGTAGCGCTTGCGGATGGAACCGACCAACAGACGGGCAGCCTGGGGCTTGAGCACGCCTGCCATATCCTTGATGCCAAGAATGTGGGGACCCATCTTGACGATCTTGTCCACCAGACCCAGGTAATATTCCAAGCTGTATTTCTTCTTGGGGTTCAGCATGTCGCCACTGTAGCACATGGTGGCCTCAACGACACCACCCGCCTCGTGGACAGCCTTAACACCGACCTCGAGTTGGTCCAGATCGTTCAGGGCATCAAAGACACGGAAGATATCGACACCGTACTTCTTGGCCTGCTTGCAGAAGTGGTAGATGGCATTATCGGGAAGGGAAGAGTAGGCAACACCGTTGGCACCCCGCAGCAGCATCTGGAAGGGAATGTTGGGAATGGCCTTGCGCATCTTGCGAAGTCTGTCCCAGGGATCCTCGTAGAGGAATCGCATAGCCACATCGAAGGTAGCGCCACCCCAGCACTCGAGCGAGTAAGCGTTGCTCAATGCGTAGCTGGTCTCAGTAGCAATGTTCAGCATGTCAATTGTTCGCACACGGGTGGCAAGCAACGACTGGTGGGCATCACGCCAAGTGGTGTCCATGATCAAGCAGCCCTTGTTGGCGCGCACAGCGCGAGCGAAGCCCTCAGGACCTTGGCTGTCCAAGATCTGCTTCCAGCCCTTAGTGCAGGGCTTGGAGATGTCAATGGGCTTGCCCGTGGCATCGTTGAGAACGGGCCTGATGATCTCGCCCTTGAATTTGGGCTCGCCGATCTGACCCTTGATGCTGCTGCCGTTGACAGCAACGTCACCCAGGTAAGCGAGCAGCTTCTGGGCGCGGTTCTGGCTGCCGATGAGGGCAAACAGCTCAGGGGTATCATCAATGAAAGTAGTCCAGCAAGTACCATCGATGAATACGGGGTGGCTCAGGAGCGAAGCAAGGAAAGGAATGTTGGTCTTGACACCACGAATACGGAACTCAACCAGAGCACGCAGCATCTTGCGGCGGACGATCTCATAAGTTGAGCCACGGCAAGTGCACTTGACCAGCATAGAGTCGTAGTGAGGCGTAATAAGGGCACCAGCAAAGCCGTTACCACCATCCAGACGAATTCCATTGCCACCAGCAGAGCGGTAGACCTCGATCTTACCGGTGTCGGGGGAGAAGCCCTTGGCGGGATCCTCGGTCGTGATACGGCACTGAATGGCGAAACCGCGGGTAGAGATGCGGTCCTGGGTAAGGCCAAGTTGCTCAAGGGTTGCACCGGCAGCGATTTGGATCTGAGCAGCCACAATATCGATGCCGGTGATTTCCTCGGTAATAGTATGTTCGACTTGAATTCTGGGGTTGATTTCGATGAAGTAGTGCTGGTTGCCACATACAAGGAACTCTGCCGTACCCGCGTTGCGGTACCGAACTGACTTGGCCAGTTTCACTGCATCAGACAAGATCTTGTCACGAACATCGACGGGAAGGTCCTTGGCAGGAGCAATCTCAACGACTTTCTGGTGGCGACGCTGGACAGAGCAATCACGCTCGAAGAGATGGACAACATTGCCCTGGTTATCACCGAGAAGCTGAACCTCGATGTGCTTGGGCTGGTCAAGGAAACGCTCGACGAAGACAGTGCCGTTCCCGAAGGCGGTGCGGGCCTCGGAGGTAGCACGCTCGAAAGAGTCACGCAGCTCAGACTGATCACGAACAACACGCATACCACGGCCACCACCACCAAAGGCAGCCTTAATAATGATGGGGAAGCCATATTCATCAGTGAAGGACTTGACCTCTTCAAAGCGCTCAACGGGGCCCGGAGTTCCCGGAACAACGGGGACATTGCACTTAATAGCGGCGCGGCGGGCAGAAACCTTGTCGCCAAGGGCATCAATCGTTTCAGGTGTCGGACCGACGAACACAATTCCAGCCTTCTCAACCTTTCGGGCGAAGTCGGCATTCTCTGAAAGGAAACCGTAGCCGGGGTGGATTAGGTGGACACCGTGCTCGAGGGCGATTTTGATGATCTCATCACCAGCCAGATAAGCGCCCACGGGAGTATATTGGCCGCGGTGACCGATCATATAAGCCTCATCGGCCTTTTGGCGATGCATTGAGAGACGATCTTCGTGTGAGAAGACTGCGACCGTCTGGAGGGACAGTTCGTGTGCGGTACGGAAGATACGGATGGGAATTTCACCACGATTGGCGACCAGAATCTTTTGAAAGTGCATAATTGTCGAGTTGGCCCGCAGACGACGGTGGACTGAGTCCTGGTGGTGCTCATTGTGATCCTCAATGAAGTCGGACTCATCAATAGCATCCTCTGGCTGGCGGTACGGGGCAGCCATTGTGAATGTGATGGGAGGGAAGATAGGTTAAAAAGTGATTACTAGAGGAGAAGTTAGATGAGAAGTTCACAGACAAAGCTTCCAATGTTTGCTCCGGTGAATACAGAGGGCGGTGACTCACTATAAAAAAAAAGCCGGGGGGAGCTATCCGGATCCAATTCCAGGCCGGTTTCGGCTCACTGCACAATCGCTCGCACTTTTTTTTTAAATCTCAGTATACGCAACAGGAGCTGGATAAGAGAACTTTGAATCTAACAGAGTTATAGTTAAGAGTTGAATTCAAAAAAAAAAAAGAGAAAGAATAGAAGGTTTAGAGGCGGGGGGGGGATTAGATAAAGAGGGGAATCCTAAGGGGCCGATCTACATGTCACAGATACTTTCCGGGGCTAAAGGATTGACTCTAGGAATGAGGTAACAAGTACATGTTCACCGGCACACCGGGGCCAATGCCTAGAAA